TCAGTTATTTGTACAAATTGTGTATAGTTATTCAGATGAACATGGGCCTAAGTGTCCAGGATCTGAAAGAATAAGTCTGAAAAAAGAAAGAAAGAGTAATTCTGGACCTTTAAGTCAGTGGGATTTGACAAATAGGATTTTTTTTAAAGATAGAGACCTTGTAACAGTGTTCTTGTCTTAAAAGATACAACTTCTTGTACCTCTAGTTGTTTCACTATTGATAGGTGTGGGCTAGTTGGGAAAGTGTCTTAGGCTGGGAGGATTATTTTGTTTCCTTGAAGAATTTTTAATATTGTACATGTGAATGAGGTATTTTACATATTTTCCTGTCTTCCCTCAAATAATCCACAAGACCTCAGTGGACAGGTCTGTATTGTGTGGAATTTTTAAAGACTGTGCATTTCACCTTCTCACGAATAAGTGGTCATTTTCCTTGATGGTCTTTCTTTTCCTGCCCCTGTCCCAGAGCTCTTTTCTGCCTTCTCTCCTTGCGTATTTTTTCCTTCTCTGCTGTGTCCCCTTTCCCTCCATCTCTGCTCTGCTCTCTCTTTACTGTTGTGGGCCTTTTGGCACTCCCTCTCCAGGATTGGCTTTTTTCTCTTTTTCTTTCTCCCTCTCTCTAATTTCCTTTCTCTGTGTCCCGTTCGGTCTTTTTCTTTTGGGGGCACATTTCTCCTAGTGATGGCAGAAACTGGCTTGGGTATTTATTTTAGAAATGTTTCAGTGAAAACTGTTGCTGCTTTTACCAAATTCTACGTACCCTGATAAAAAAGAGAGGTCTTTCTTTCACAAAGGCAGTAAAATTCCTTTTTGCAAACATAAAGTTTAAAAGGCTTCTTGATTTTTCTTTCAGCTGAGGAAAATATATTTTCTCCCAAATTTTTCCTGCTCTTCCTTAATTTTTCCCCTTGTCTTTAATTTATTTTGATTGCTGTTTTCTTCCTTTTTTTCACTCTTACCTGCATCACTCTCGGTATCTTTTTTCTCATTCCCTTTCTCTCCTTGTCCCTCCTTCTCTGTGCCCTATATGTCCCCTTGCTCCTTCCATCACCTGAACCCTTGCACTTGCCAGTGATTTGTTGTTGTTGTTGTTGTTGTTGTTGCTGTTGTTGTTTTTGTCTTGGCTGTGGTCCTCAGTGCAGAGCCGTCTGATCTCCTGCCTGGGGGCAGGAGGGAAGAAGAGAAGGAGGCTGGGCCAGGGACAGGTAATCTTCCAACAGGAGCCTAGACTCTTTTAACAAAAAAGGGACAGTTTCCTTTTGTCTAGGGCACATGAGAGGCATGTCTGGGAGAGTGACTACCAGTGGGGGTGCTTGAAATGTTTCTAATGGAACCTGAGCAATTCTCTGTGTGCTTCCACAGTAGAAGGAGAGAGAGGGAGGGGAGATGGTGGGTAGGGAGAGAAAGACAGATAGGCAGACTTTCTTTTCTCCCTTCCCAAGCATCAGGATACCCTAGTGATTCTTTCAGGAACCCCCTCCAACCCCCTAGTCAGCAGCCTCTGAAGGGAACAGAATAAAGGTAGAATGTTGCCTGAGGCTCCTCTGCCCAGCTTCAAGGTTGTGTGTCACTGGCAGAAAAAGGATAGTTGACAATTGTTCTCCCTTCTAGTTTCTCCCCTGGGAAGGGCCTGTTGCTCCTCATGTTGAGAGCCTTATGGGGGTGCTTGGGGCTCTTTGTGGGTCCCTGAGTCTCCAAAGAGATACCTCTTTGCCACTTTTTTGTCAGATCTCTCTGCCACTCCATAAGCCTTTGACCTCCCCTCTCTCCAGAAGTGAATCATGTATCTTCATTCTGATTCTCTAACATCTACATGGTTCCTTCGGGAACAGCTGTCATCTCCCAGCTGTGGGACTAGTGCTCCTCTACTCCCATCCCTGACCCAGCTGTAACACCAGATTCAGATTCAGCCTCTGTTGAGCACATCTCTTCCACTGTGGCCCTGTGGTCTGTGAAACAGAACATGCCAGGATTCTCTAGGAGGCGCGTGTTGGCCATTTTCTGTTTTGTGTCTAATATTTAGTATAAATCAGAATACCAGAAAAACACCCCTGTGCCAAATATAATCTCACTTGTTTTTATGGACTCATCTTTACTTTAGAAAGTAAAATTGCTTCCTCAGGGTGGAGAGGCAGGGCTTGGTACCTTATGTAATGTCACCAAGCTAACATCTTTGACTGATTAGACTGAAGCTGGTTATTAACATGATGTAAATTATTGAACACCACCCTAAGAGGTCTGTCCCTGATGGCACCTGCCTCCTGCCCTCTTACCTCTATTTCTCCCAGGGTCAGCAGTGAGCTCACTTCACTTGAGACAGACCATTCAGGATACAGACTGGGGTCCCAGGTGTTGGACAACCCTTCTTCCATTATCAGAGTTCGGGGCCAGCCCAGGGCTGGCTGTTTTATTTTGGCACACCATGGGCACTCTTTCGGGAACCTTTCCACCAACATAAAGGCCACGGAACACAGGATTTCAGTTGGGGAAGAAAGGGGCACGAGTGAGCAGTGACCTTTTTTCTATTGCCAGCTGAGGGCTGAGCCTCGCCTGGGGAGAGGACGGCTGTAGAGATGGGGTTCCAAGCAGAATCAGACCCCTGTCTGTGTTCCCATTCTTCCTCCTCTGCTTTTCCTTTCATTTCATATGTGTCTCCTCCTTACTGCTTTTCAAAGGCCTCAAGCATGGCTGCCATAGCTCCTGCTGGAGGGACCCCCTCAGAGATGGGGATTCCCCTCATTCTCCCTGCCTGCTAGGAGGGAGCCCTGATACTGAGCACCACAAACAGGGGCTCCCCTAATGAGTTTCTTCTCTGTGACTTGATTTCCTCCCAGGTGGCTTGCTTTTCTTGATAGAGCCCTTTGCTTTGCATCTTGCCACATCCTTTCTTAGCTCTCTCCCTTTCGCTTGGGTTTCTCATGTTATGTTTTTACACCTAGGACTTGGGCCCTTTAGTCTGAAGTGATTTGGGGGACAGGTAAGAAAACTAATTTTGGGTCAACTGAAAAGGCTAAGACTGGAGAAAGCAAAGAATTAAACATCCGGGTGGTGGTAGAGGGGCGTTGGTCAGACTCACCGCCTCTGCTCAGAGGTAGTGTCCATCTTTCTGCCTTTGTCACTTCTCCCCAGGGCTGGCTGTTGTGTTTGTGGCTGCTTGTAGAGCTTGTCAGCAGAGTGCTGTGACAGGAGGCTATTTTAATAAACTGTTGCAGTTTCTCGAGCTGAGCTGCGTTGCGTTGGCATCCCTCGTCACCGCTAATGGAGCCTGCGTGGCTGGGTGTGGGCCGAGGGAGGGGGCTGAGCTTGCTAGGGGATGGGGGAGAAGGGAGAAGGCTTGGGGTACTGCTTGCTCCCCATGCCTTGTCTGAGAGTGCTCCTGCAGCAGCCAGACCTGGGGGACAGTGGAGTGGCTGCACCCTGGGTGCCAGGTCCCTGCCCTGGAAGTGCTGCTGGCATGGATACTTTCTGAGCTCTCTTTCTTCTTATTTCTATTCATAGCACCGCAGGCTCGTGTGTATGGCCGAGGAGGAAAACTTCCACTCGCCCCTATGTGCTCCATAAATAATAATAAAAAAAGAAATAGAACCAGAAAAAGAGAGAGTGTGCAGGCCGAGAGAAAGACTGAAACCAAAACACAGAGAGAAGGCGCAGCTGCTTCCCCAAGGCCTTCTGGGGCTCCCGCCCGCCAGCCCGCTCGGAGTCAGGCCTTTATTTATTTATTTTTCTGGCTTAAAAAAAATCTGCGTCTTCCTCAATCCCATTTCATCCCCCCACACCCCCGCCCGCCCCATCCCACCCCCAAATTTGCTGGGTAGCTGCTGCCAAATGGACCCGAGTGGGAGCCTGGAATGAAAAATTCATAACTGCTGGACTTTGCTTGTTCATTAGACGTGAACTTGTCGATTGGGCAAATTGTTTTTGGTCTCCAACTGCCGGGGGCTCTCTCCACCCTCCCGACTCGCCCAGTTCCCTCCTCCCCTTGGACACAGCCATTGGCTGCTCATGGATGTCTCTTTGCCAAATAGGTGGATCTCTCTCTTTCTCTTTCTCTCTCTCTCTTTCTCTCTCTCTCTCTCTCTCTCTTCCCCTCTTTTTACTGGCTTGGCACAAGCAAATGGATGGGGATTGAGCATGAAAGGAGAGAGAGAGAGGGAGTTTGAGAGAGAGAAAAGGAGCAAACACACACACACACACACACACACACACACACACACCCCAAATCCAACCAGTGTGCACACGCGCACGCGCGCGCGCACACACACACACATACACGCGCGCGCACACTCACACACGCCCCATCCCATCCACATCCTCCCTCGATCCTCGATCTCTCCCTCCCCCCTTTCTCCTCCCCCCCCCTTCACTTGCTCCTGCTCTCTCTTTTGCACGCGTCTGCCAGCAACGGTCTGCAGCCGGTCAGAACTCGTCCTCTTTCCCGGGAATCTGCGAGCTCCCCCTTTTCCTTCGATCAGGCGGAGGGAGGCAGCTCGAAGTTTACACCCCTGTGCCGCTGCCAAAGCCGAAAGCCTTTTTCTTCAGCTGCCGCTTTTTCCCTCCTGGGTTTTGTTTTTGTTTTTGTTTTGCACGGGGGTGGGGTGGGGTACGTTGTTGGGTAGGGGGAGATGGTAGGAGGTTGGTTTTGATTTTAAATTTTACATTTTTTTTTAAACTAGAAAAGGGTGCACAGGGGGAGAAATTGAAAAAAAATTTTTTGTTGGCTTTTGTTTACCTGGTGTGTGTGGCAACCAGCTTGCTCCCTCTCTCTGCTTGCTATCCCTGACCTTTCTTTCTTTTTGCTCCTTTTCAAAAAAAATATTAATTTCCCCATTCTG